AATGGGAAAGTCTGCTGTTAGGGACCTCTCTAAAGTACTCAAGAGCAACGGTGTCCACTGTCTGATACAGGCCATCGTCTTTGCAATCACTTGTTATGCATCAGAGAGCTGGACAATGACTAGGGAGGACAAAAGGAGAATTGAAGCCTTTGAGCTGTGGTACAGGAGAAGAGTATTGAATGTACCATGGACTGCCACGAAAACAAACAGATTCATCCTAGGGAGGGTTAAACCAGGCTACTCCTTGGAGGCAAAGATTCTGGGGCTTCGTCTGACATACTTTGGACATGTTGCAAGGAGAGACAGGTCTTTTCAGAGGGACATCATGCTGGGTAATTAGAGGGACAGCGAAGAAGGGGAAGACCCTCTATGAGGTGGATTGATTCAGTGACTGGGGTAATCGGGATGGGTGTGTCAGAGGCAATGCGATTGGCACAGGATAGAGCAGGGTTTAGGGCTGTTGTACATAGGGTCGCTATGAGTCGCAAAGGACTCGATGGCACATAACAACAACAACAAAAGTGCAATAATGAATGACTGGAAACCCTAATTCTCTGTAAACTTTATTTAAAATGAATAAAAAAAATTGGGTTTCTAAAATGGGGGCATTAAAACATTAAGGAGTAAAGCAGCTGGTTTACATATTTCCCTAAATACAGGTGATAGTGAGAGGAAGACTGATCCTTAAGATAATGAGAAATAATGGCCAGAAAAGCCAGGTGGTCGGCTGTGGTCTTAGCTTAAAGTTGTCTTTTTTAAGCCATGACCTTGGCCCCTTCTGGTTTCCAGCTACCTTAATTGCAGACAAATGGTTTTGTAAATCATCAACAGCTGTGGGACTAGGGTGACAGTAAGAGAGAGGGGGAGGGAGTGAGTGGGAGAGGGAGAAAGAGAGAGTGAGAGACAGCGTGTAGGAGAGAAGAGAGCACATGAGAGAGCGCTTGAGGAAGATTGCAACAAGACTCTGTTGATAGCAAGACCCTGGTGATGTTGGTGGAGAGACTGGCATTGGTGTGGAGAAACTATGGCAAAGTGTAACCAGGATCCTTGCGATAAAGGTCACAGTTAAAGGGGTTTTGCTGTTTTCCCTGGATGATAAAAAGAGAAGCTGACTGCTGAACTGAAACCAGAGCCTGGACATATTGAGGAACTGTGCTTTGGAACTGCTGGGCTGAAACTTAAGATTTGCACTGAGTAATATTCTTTGCTTCGTCCATGCTCCAACTTATTTCACTTATAAATCCCATTCTTGGTACTACCACTGTGAGTAAAGTGTGTGACTCAACAACGAATATCAAACCTCTTTCTACTGGCATGGCTCTAGAGGTACAATGGGGCTGTGCTACACAGTCTTTTTATCTGCTTTCTGCTCTGGATCAGTGAGGGGCTGTGCTATTTTCTAGTCTTTTCAGAGAGATGCCTATGGCCTTGTGCTCATGTCCCCTTTCTGCCTCTTCAGACACACTTCATAATCACCATTTCAACCTCATTAGTCCAACATTTCCTGATGCTCATTTGTAGTATGCTTTTGAACTAGCTCTTTCAGTCACGGTGCATGAAGTAAAATCAGACAGACCTGAAGATGTAAAACACCAGAGTACTAGAATGATAATCACTATAGGAAATAATACAATGAACATTCTAGCAGAAACTAAATCTCCCTCTTGGGACATATGGGCAACATGAATGTCACATAGCAACTAAATCTCTTAACCAACAGAATCAGAAACCATTGTGCTACTCAATGACGGCCACCAAGTACGCATTTTGAACATGCAGAGCTCTACCATGCTGGCAATAATCCCAAATCCCAATTCAGTTTATTAAAAGGGCTCACTACACTGTTTCCAAGTCTCCCACTCTAAGGCTTTGTTCCAGGTATTTCTCCAGCTCTGGTGGCCTAGAAGCAAGAAGGTGCACTGCACTCCAGAAGATATTTGGTCTGAGGTCACCAGCTGTGCTCCATTGGAGAAGGTTGGACAATCTCCTCCCAAGTGATTAACTATCTCTAAAAACTTGCCAGAGGATCCAGCTTGATGGTACACAACAAAAAGTTATCATATTGCTCCACCCAACTTTTAAAAATTCAGTCTGTTGTAATTTTGTTCTATCAGTCATGATAGAGCCAGTACCCCCACCTATCCAAACAACCACTGCTCTAGTTTCAAAAACTTCTTTAAAAAATCTAGTAATATGGATTGACCCAATTCTATAACAATGGGCTGAAGCCTATCAGAGATCATAAGGATGGTGCAGGATAAGATAAGGTTCAGATTTCTTGTTCATAGGTTGCGATGAGCCATAGTCAACTTAATGACATTTCATAACAATAATACATCTTTTGGAGGAAATGTTTTCTTCATCTTGCCTTTTTAAGGTATATTTTGATTCCCCATTAGACTAGAATCTAGGATTATACCAGATTTCTTTAATTGATACCTCCGAATATGGCTGATACATTTAACATGTCAAGATTAGACAAACTGTTAGGTGTTATAGAATCTAGTACAACTTATAGTGACCCTAAGAACAAGAGTTCTGTCATATCCTTTGTTTTTCTCACCATCTCTCATAGATTTAAATCCACTGGGGCAGACAATGTACCAGTCTATCTCATTGGAGGTTTTCCTCTCTTTAATTAACCCTCCATTTTTCCAAGCATTATGTCCCTTTTCAAAAAATACAGACTCACCTGGCAACATGCATAAAGTATGTGAAACAAAAAAGTTTGCCATCTTTGCCTCCAAGAAGCATTCTAGCTGAACTTTATCTAAGACATACTTGTTTGTTCTCTTGGCAGTACATGGGATATCCCGTACTCTTCTCTACATCACACCTCAAATGCATCAATTTTTCTTCCATCATCCTTATTTACTGTTCAGCTCTCAGATGCATAACAAGTGTTTAAAAAGACAATGCTCTGAATCAGGTGCACCTTAGTCTTCAAAGTGACTCAGTAATTTGGAGAAGTCCCTTATAGCATACTTGCCCAAAGTTATTCATCTCCTGATCTCTTGACTGCTGAGACCATGGGTGTTGATTGTGGATCGAATTAAGATGAAATTGTTAACAATTTCAAGCCTTTTTTCATCTATCACGATGTTGCTTATTGGTCCTGTGGTAAGGATTTATGTCTTTTTGATGTTTTGATGCAAATCATATCGAAAGTTGTAATCTTTGACCTTCTGCAGCAAGTGTTTCAAGTTCTTTTCACTTCAAGCAAGCAAGATTGCATCATCTTCTTAACACAGGCTGTTGGTGAGTCTTCCCCTGATACGGATACTTTATTCCTCATACAATCCAGTTTCTTGAATAATTTGCTCATATACAGATTGAATAGGCATGGAGAAAGAATAAAATTCTGACACACACCTATGAGCAAGAGGCTATGGTGATGAAGGAAGAAGTTCAAGCTGCTTTGAAGGAAATAGCAAAAAATAAGGCTCCAGGAGTAAATGGTATACCAATTGATGTATTTCAGCTAACAGATGCTGCCCTGGATGTGCTCACCAAGTTGTGCCAAGAAATCTGGAGAACCACCAGTTGGCCAGCTGACTGGAAGAGATCTATATATGTTCCCATCCCAAAGAAGGGCGACCAAACAGAGTGTGGAAATTATAGAACAGCATCAATGATTTCACATGCAAATTAAGATTCTACTGAAGATTATCCAAAAGTGACTGGAACAGCACATTAGCAGAGAACTGCCAAAAGTCCAGGCTGGGTTTAGAAGGGGTCGTGGTACTAGGGACTTTGTAGCTAATGTTAGATGGGTCTTGTCTGTGTTTCATTGATTATGCAAAGGTGTTTAACTGTGTGGATCATAACAAACTGTGGATGACTCTGAGAAGAATGGGAATCCCAGAACACTTGATCATGCTCACGTGAAACCTATACTTGGAACAAGTGGCAGTCGTCAAAACAGAGCAAGGAAACACTACATGATTCAAAATTGGGAAGGGTGTATGACAGAGACGTGTCCTATCTCCATACCTTTTCAACCTGTATGCAGAACAGATTATCTGGAAGGTTAGGCTCTATGAGGTGAAGTGTGGTGTCAGGATTGGTGGAAGATTTATCAACAACCTTTGTTATGCAGATGACACAACCCTGCTTGCTGAAACTGAAGAGGACTTGAAGCGCTTGTTGCAGAGGGTCAAGGACTACAGCCTTCAATATGGATTGAGGCTCAATATCAAGAAGACAAAGATTCTCACCACTGGGCCAATTGGCAGCATCAGGATGGATGGTGAAGAGATTGAGATTGTTCAGTTTGTTTGGTTCCACAGTCAACACTATTGGCAACAGCAGCCAGGAAAAGATGTATTGTGATGGGAAAGTCGGCTGTTACGGACCTCTCCATAGTACTGAAGAGCAATGGTGTCACTCTGAAGACTAAGGTTTGTCTAATACAGGGCATGGTCTTTGCAATCACTTGTTATGCATTAGAGAGTTGGACAATGACTAGGGAGGATAGGAGGAGAATTGATACCTTTGAGCCGTTGTGCTGGAGAAGAGTACTGTGTGTACCATGGACTACTAAGAAAACAAACAGATTCATCCTGGAGAGGGTTAAGCTGGGCTGCTCCTTGGAGGCGAGGATTCTTGGGCTTTGTCTGACATACTTTGGACATGTTGTAAGGAGGGACCGGCCCTTGGAGAGGGACATCATTCTTAGGAGGGTGGAGGGACGGCATAGGAGGGGAAGACCCTCCTTGATTCCGTGACTGGCGTAATCAGGATGGGTGTGTCGGAGGCAGTGCAATTGACAGAGGATAGAGCAGGATACACAGGGTTGCTATGAGTCCCAAGCAACTTGACGGCACATAACAACAATGTTGTCTTGCTCTATTCAGACAACAGCTTCTCAACACTGGCTTCACATGAGCACAATTAAGTGTTCTCAGATTCCCATTCACCTCAATCAATTTAGTGCTTGGTCTTTATGTTTAAGAAGATTTAGGGGGAAAAGAAACAGATCTGATGTTAAGACATCTTACCTACTGGCACAGAGATCTTTCTCTTCTTAAAATTTGGCTTAAACACAAAACAGCCCTTAAAAAAAAAAAAAAAAGAAAGGAAAAAGTTCAAGGTCTAAGTAACCAAGCATCAAACAAATCTGATTAACCAAAATCTTTAGGATAAGCAATTTTTTTAAAATGTTACTAAACAAACAAATCACATTTATTTGTATTATAGAAAGGAAACACTTAAATAACCATCCTTTCCACATCTTTAATTTTGCTCTCTGGAACTTGATCTAAAAAGTCACAAAGAAAATGAAAGTTGATAAAATTTGAATCCAGACAGAAAAAAATATCTTGATACACTGAGAGAAGATCAAGGGTAAAAACAATTCACCAGTTGACCCACAGCAGGATAGGTAATCTCCTGTGCAATTTAATGCCTCTGAAAAAAAATCACTGGACGGTCAGCTATGAGTTGGTTCCTAATTGATGTCACCTAACAACAACAACATCCCAAATGAAGTATTTAGTGCTTAATTAAACTCTCAGTACCTAGAACTCTGCCAGAAAATTAATTATTTGGGCTATAAATCCACCCTACAGATCTTTCTTTACGTGATAAACTCTCCAGTGACCTAGAGTTAAGCACTGTCAACCCAAGGCAGGTGGTGTCAGTTCATCAGTTGCCTTAAAGGAGAAATCTTGGTAATCTCTTGCGCAGTTGATAGCCTCTGAAAACCTCCTAGAGGGGCAGGTGTTCTGCCTCAATGGCACATAAAAATTTATCCATTAAAATTCTACTAAAAAACTCTTCAGGGAAATCTCTAATTCTAGTCAGAATTGCTCTTTCCTGTCATTTCCATGCTTTGTAAATTTTTTTTTTTTAAATTTCACTTTGTTTTAAACCATTTTCACTAATACATCTTAGACACAACCAAAAGATAAATGGTTTGGATTCAACCACTTGAGGGATAAAAAAGGGAAGAAATTCTGGTGGCTCACTGGTAAGGCATTGTGCTGCAAACTCAAAGGTCTGTGGTTTGAATCCATCAGCTGTTTTGTGGGAGAAAAGACCAACTTTTGTGCAACTTACTGCCTCTAAAAACCAGAGGGCCGGTTCCCACTCTCTGGTACTTATCAAGGACCACCAACTCCCATAAAAATTCAGTCTTGGAAACCTGATCATGATCTGTCACCACGTGTCAGAACCAACTCACTGACAGTGATGTTCCCAAGTAGATGGAGAACTCCTTCAACATACAGACTATACTCACTGTTGTGTCTCCAATGTTTAGCACAATGCTGATATACTCCAGACAAGGAATATAGGGAACAAATAAATGACTGCCATATAATTTTTCTGTTCATTTCCTAATTTAAATACATTCAATTTCATGTTATTATTTAACTCATGATACTTACTCCTCAAGCTACCAATTCTGTCTATTCTCCCAATCTTAATTTTTGTGGAATAGCAAAGAAACAAAAGAATTAAACCTGAAAAAGTAATTTCAGGATAAGAGACTATAAGTGCCAAGATAAGAATTGTGTTTTATAGAGGAAATAATTGCTAGGCCTTAAATGGAGTTAAAACAAAATTGAAAAATCAGTGCAAAGGCTCTGGGTCCAAAGGACATGTTCTTTTTTGGAAGCAGTTAAGATTTTTCCTCTACTCCTTTCTTTCAACTCTTGTAAAAAAGTTGAAATTGTAGATGTTAAGATTTGCTAATAAATGCTTGTAATGGGATCATAACTGGCTTAGAATGAGTTCAAAATAGTTAAATTAATAAGGTGACATAGTGATTAAGTGCTTATAATTTCTAAACTATCAGCCACTTCATGGGGAAAATGATGTGGCAGTCTGCTTCCACAAAGATTACAACCTTGGAAATCCTTTTCTATAGACTCACTAGCAGTCATATACCAACCCAACAGCAGTATGTTTTTTTGTGCTGCTAGGCCTTACTTAGCCAAAAATGAAAGACTGCCCAGTTGTGGGCAAGGAAAGTCTTACTTTATCTGTCATACACGGAGCTCTTATGGCCTGTGCCTAGCTGGTGGTTCCTGTCCACCAACACCTGCTAGGAAGACAGCTGGGCAGTCTCCTCCTGTGCGATTGACAGCCTCCCAAAAACCCGCTGGATTCTAAAATGCACAGCAATGAGTTGAACTCCTCGGTTACAGTATCTGTGCTATCCACTGTTTGCCCAAGTGCATGTGGTTATTTAGGATATCTGATTTAGCGTCACACTGGGCCACACAGCTCTAAAGTTTACTTCTTGCCGATTACGCTACGATGCTTTGCAATTCCACAAATTCCGATTGTTTAACATGGCATCTAGAATTATGTGAGGGTGTTGTTGTTGTTGTTATGTGCCGTCGAGTCGCTTGCGACTCATAGCGACCCTGCGCTGTCCCTCCACCCTCCCAAGCATGATGTCCCTCTCCAGGGACCGGTCCCTCCTCACAACATGTCCGAAGTATGTTAGAAGGAGCCTCAGAATCCTCGCCTCCAAGGAGCCACCCGGTTTAACTCTTTCCAAGACAAATCGGTTTTCCTAGCAGTACTGAAAATATTTATGCCTCAGAGGGAAGGACGACAAGAGTTTTCTCGGGGCATATCCAACTCCCACAAAGACTCCCCTCTCCCCCCTCATATAACCACTATTTCATAATTTTTTTTAAAAAAATGGTTAAAGAAGCTTCATGAGTATTTCGGATCAAAGTGGGAAAGCTTTTGCGTTAAGTGTCGTTGTATCAATTCCAACTCAGTGTTCCCATATGAAGGAGTAAAACTGCTCAATGGAGGTTTTCTTGGCTGTAATCTGTGGAAACAAGCCACAGAGCTTTCTCCCATGAAACTGCAGAGTGGGTTCAAATCACCAACCATTGGTTGTAATCAATAGGGCCTCAATGCTCCTATTAAGAAGTAGTTTGTAAGATGGACATGATCCTGCAGCAGCAAACTGCCTCGGCTTTCAAAAAACTTTCAAATGAGTAAAAATGTAAACATGAATTTTAAAATCCTTTTAGCTAGAACAATGAGGCACAATTTTGCACCCTCACTCTTCCAAACAAGACTGGCACCTCAGCTCGGTCCGCAGCTTCCTCCCCATTAGCTAGGAGACCGAGCCGATATAACCTGTAATTTATCCCTTCTTCACTGCGAATGTGTATCTTTGGCTCCAGCCCCCACGTACCTTGGACACAGAGGAGGTGGCCATGGCCTCAGCTGATGGCGGGATTCTAAGACCCACTCAGGCATTCCCACACGCCCTCTCGGCACCAGGGCAGAGGTTAGAGGGGAGGCTTGAAACTTGCCGATTGGTTGGCACCGCCCTCCTGAGCCGGGCTTCCGGAGACGGGAGGAGGGCTTCCGGCGTCCAGAGGCGTGACTTACAGGCGGCGTGTCGTGCTGTCTGAACTCCTTGAAATGGCTTGCACCTTCAGAAGGTCAATCGCTGCTCAGGTACGGATCCTGGAGCCTGCTGCGCGAGTGTCCCTTCTTAGCTCCATAGTATTAAGCCTTTTCACGACCGCGGACCAGTTCGCAGTCAGCTTGAGGGCTGTTTAACCTCTTTCTGCCACTTCCACCCTGTTCTTTGAAGCTGCTGGAGCTAGCAGCAGCCAGTCAGTGGAGAACAATAGGGTGAAAAGCGAACCTGGAAAGACTCATAAGGCTTACCTCCTATCTTTCCAGTTCACAGCTTTGCGTCTTGTACTTGAGTGGGAAGTTATTATCTGTGGTGAGACTCTGTAGAAGTTATTGTCTCTTAAATTTAATTAAGTTATTGGTGTCAAAATTTCCATTGAAAGTTCTTTCATGTTGCAATCATTTGGCAACCTCGTTCGTTATTCTTGTTAGTAACTTCAAAGGTACGGTGTGATCCTGTTTTTCTTGATTGAAAAGCTGTAACTTGAAATGTTCAAAAAAACTCTGCATACCTGCACAAATAGTGTGGTTCCATAAGCACACCATATTGTCTCTTGTGCCTTATGTTTTGGGAATCACGCTGTTTGTACATGTCTGCAATTAGAGTTTGTTGTTGAAATATATCTTCAGTCTGTCTGCTCTCATGCCTACTGCCACCTCTATTGTTGTTGTTATGTGCCATTTAGTCGCTTGCGACTCATAGCGACCTTATGTACAACAGCCCTAAACTCTGCTCTGTCCTGTGCCAATCTCACTGTCTCTGACACACCCATCCCTGTTACCCCAGTCACTGAATCAATCCACCTCATAGAGGGCCTTCCCGTCCTGCTGTGACCCTCCACCCCCCCAAGCGTGAAGTCCTTCTCCAAGCACTGGTCTCTCCTTACAACATGACCAAAGAATGTTAGAGGGAGTCTTAGAATCCTTGCCTCCAAGGAGCCACCCGGTTTAACCCTTTCCGGGATGAATCTGTTTGTTTTCCTAGCAGTCCATGGTACTCTCAATATTCTTCTCCAGCACCACAGTTCAAAGGCATCAATTCTCCTTCTATCCTTCTTGGTCATTGTCCAACTCTCTGATGCATAACAAGTGATTGCAAAGACCATGCCCTGTATCAGGCACACCTTAGTCTCCAGAGAGACACCATTGCTCTTCAGTACTTTGAAGAGGTCCCCAACAGCAGACTTTCCTTTGGCAATCTGCCTTTTAATTTCCCGGCTACAGCTCCTGAGAGTGTTGACTGTGGAGCCAAGCAATCTAAAGCTGTGAACAATCTCAGTCTCTTCACCGTCAATCCTGATACTGCCAGTTGGTCCAGTGGTGAGAATCTTTGTCTTCCTGACATTGAGCCTCAATCCATACAGAAGGCTGGAGTCCTTGACTGCAACAAGCACTTCAGGTCCTCCTCAGTTTCAGCAAGCAGGGTTGTGTCATCTGCATAACGCAGATTGTTGACAGATCTTCCACCAGTCTTGACCCCTCATTTCTCCTCATAGAGCCCAGCCTCCCGGATAATCTGTTCTGCATACAGGTTGAAAAGGTATGGAGATAGAATGAATCCCTGGCGTACGCCCTTCCCAATTTTGAACCATGCAGTGTTCTCTTGCTCTGTTCTGACGACTGCCTCCTGGTCCAAGTATAGGTTTCGCATTAGAACCAGCAAGTGTTCTGGGATTCCCATTCTTCTCAGAGTCAGCCACAGTTTGTTATGATCCACACAGTCAAACGCCTTT